GGAGTAGTGGTTTGAGTGGACTCTGAAGACAAGGGATCGATTGTCAACTTGGCCATGAAAACTACTTGGCGATCTTGGGCAGGTCACACCCCAAGGTCACCAAGTAGTTTTTAGCCTCAGAGGAAGGCAATGGGAAACCTCTGAACAAATCGTACCAAGGAAACCCCATAATAGGTTCACCTTATGGTCACCCTAAGTCGGAAACACTTTGAAGGCATGCAACAACACCACTGTAATTATCCCTGATATAGGAATCCAAATTATGAGAACTGACCCTGAAACACTGTTGATTTAAAGCTCTTTTTACATGCTCTGCTTCACATGTTGCAGAAATATGGAGACAGGGGTATGATAGGTACTTATATTCCTGTCCCTTCTTAACAATTCAATGAGTTATTTGGAAGTCAGATTAAGTTAACATTTTAAAGTATAGAGATGACACATGTCACACATCCATACCCACTTGGTTTCTTCTCCAAGTGGGAGTGGCTAAAAAACATGTGTTCTTTTTGTGATTTATTTAATGTGAAGTGTGAATGAGAAACTCTGGCTTGTCAGAGGAGAGACAAGCCAGAGTTTCTAGTTTCCCCTGAAACATTAAACAAACCACATATATAAAATTCATTATTTATTTAGCACCTCATGCTTGCAGTGGGAATGATCAGGCAACACACATGAACACACAGCTTGCACAGGCCTTGTAACATGTAAATTGGACCAATAAAATGTATACGTGATTGTCTTCAACCAGAAGAGTGGTATGTGTTGGGATCTAAGTAGGATGTACCTCTCTTTGGAAAGCCACCAATATTAAAATCCATGGAAGCATTCCTTAACCCATTAGGAATTGCTTTTGGGAAAGAAAAACAGGCTAAAGCTGGCAGATCTGGACAGAGTTACTATTTTGCTGTTTGAATGGAATTAAAATAAGATTGTTATTTCCCTAGTTTCTTCCAATCAGCTCTTCAAGACAACACAGTCCTGTATATCTGCAAAGGCCCAATATCTATCTGGAGAGAACACCACAGCAACTCTCTTCTTTAGAACTCTGTGAGTGTTCAGAGTCTCTCTTTTCTAGACTCTCACTCCCCAAAATACATTTCCCTCAGGAACACCCTAAAACACAGCCCTCTCTCTGGCTTAACTTTCTCGACACTAACTCTAACTGTCCCCCAACTGTCAGCCTGAGCTTTTTTAAATGCTCCCAGCCGGAATCCCATTGGCTGGCTGGCTCTCAGCTGCCTCCTGATTGGCCAGCTGGATATTCTATTCACCACAGCATGGCAAATGCACAGCACATGCCCCGACTCTGCCCCAATGCTGGCATCATGCCGACCAGTCAACCACATGGTGGGCGGCATTATGGCACTCCTTTGGCACAGCGTTTAGACACTGAACACCAAAAGGAGGACCAAAATGTGCTGCAACAGCAGCAAGGGCAGCTGTTTGCCAGCTCCAAAAGGAACAGCTTTCTGATGCTTCTTTTGGAGCCAGCAAAGGACTGGATCAGGGCCATGTTGTGTGGTTGCTGCAGCTCTGATCTGGCGCTTAAAGGGGCAGTGGCACGCCGCTCCAAAGGGCCTGTCTGTTTAAGGTCCCAGGCTTCATCCACATTGCAGAAATAACCCAGGTTGACCTCACTTTAACTGCCATGACTCAATGCTATGGAATTCTGGGAACTGTAGCTTGTTGTGGTACCAGAACTCTCTGACAGAAAAAGCAAAACTACAATTCCCAGAATTCCATAGCATTAAGCCATGGCAGTTAAAGTAAGGTCAAACTGGATTAGATATACAGGCAGATGCAGCCTTAATTTCCAAAGCAGACTCCATGTGGCATGTGGAGGAGCTAAGGTTTGAGAACCCCAAGCTGTTGGTTTGTAGATTCAGCCACAAAGTATACATTCAGGTTAATCAAATGAGTTGAGTCTGGTATCTAACTTCACCAGGGTATGGAAAACAACCCAAATAGCTAAGTCATATTGTTAATGTAATTCTATTTACAAAATCTTTGAGATCTGGATTTTGTTTGGTTTTATATAGTGGATTGATAGAAACAAAAACATTTCTGAGCACAGTAATTGCAAATGCCAATCTATCTGGGATTGCAGAGAAAGTAGTTATACCCAAATAATGCCCTTGATGTATGTGTGTGGTTCTTAGATTCTTAATGGGCTTGGAACATAGTACTAGGTTTGCTCTACAAACCAAAATCACTTTGCTGTATCTGTTTTGGTTTCTTTTGTAAATTATAGATTATGTTCCCATATTACCACAGGAAGTTGTTGTGGTTTTTTCCAAAAGTACCATGCGGTTTACAAGCCAATTCTGTGCTGAATGTGCCATAGTTTATTAACAAATGCAACAAAAGACTAGAACTAAAGACTACATCCTGCAAATGTTTTATTATTGTGGCTAGTCTCAGTGACCTAAGTTTCCATGCTCAGATATGGCATCAAGATGAAAGGCAAAGAACAAACAACTAAATACAAGTATGAACATGGCTCCAAATGTTATGTGTAGAAACTATAGCTTAAATGCAAAGGTGACCTTAAAATGTCTCACATCCCAAGGAAATATTACCACCTACCATCCACATCCTGACCAGTGGATCTCTGCTATCCATCTACCATCTTAGGTGGTACTTAAAAGGTCACAACAGATAGCTCCTCCTTGTTCCACCTCTAAGAGCTCAGAAGAGCAGCCAAGAGGTTATCAGTATCCTACAGTGATGCTTCCCTAATACAGAGCATTCTTGCATGGAACTATGCAAGAGACATCAGCTATTCAACAAATCTAGTACTATTTTGGATGCTGTAGCAGCCAGTATCTGCTCCTTTGGCTAAAGTACATTTAATGGCCCTCCTTCCCTAAGTGAGTGTAGCTACTCATTGCCATAGTCACCAGCAGTAGTTGCTCCTTATCCTCATCCTTTTCATAACTAACAATGTCATTCCTCAGAAAGGGTTTGCCATTGCCATCCTCTGAGGCTGAGAGAGTATGACTTGCCCAAGATCACCCAGTGGGTTTTTATACTTGCGCAGGGAATCAAACCCTGATCACCTGAGTCACACTCCAACGTTCAAACCACTACACCATGCTGGCTCTCACTACCATTATGTTCTGGCCCAAAATGAACAATGGAAAAGCAAGCTAAGATGGTGAAGAGGAAAAAGAGGTTCATAGGCTCTTGTCAGTGGGCCTTGCTGTAATATAAGGATCTTCCCAGGTTCCTACCATTGCCCCGGTTCTGCTGCTGGATAGAAATCATACTCCTGCAATAGCTGGGAATAACTAAGGAAGTATCATCTTACTGCAGCCAAAATTGGTTTTTTTCAGATAGATTGGTGTAAAATTAATTAAACATGGTGAAAAAGTCAGAGAAAATGTGTCCAATCATGAAAAAGCACTGATATACTAATAATGGTTCCTTTTAACACATTACCTATGATATATAAATCTTGGCCACAATCTAGCAGGATCTTATGTCTTCATAAACATACTTACATCTTTAAAATTGAACAGTTCCATAATATCTGTATCCAGTAGAG